ATCGTTGCCAGCGTTTCTAACTGTACATCGTGAAACTTTGCCAATTACTTTAGGCAATGTTTCACCGCATAATGGGCTGTCTCTTTCAATTCTGAGTGCTCATTTCAGTTCCAGAACAGACCACCAATTCAGTGGTCTTCTCGAGAGAAGCAGCTGTCGGAGGATGAGTCGTTTCGAAGCGATCGTGGTATGCATCAAGCACCACCATTCCTACAATCTCGAACACTATTCCCAGGCCATGATAAAGCATCTCATCGAACGGAAAATTCTCTTTGTTTGAATCAAACAAATATAAGGAGAAATTATTGACCTTTAATATTATCATATATTTCGTGTGGGACGCGAAAACTACTCAGAAGTTGAAAATCCGAAAGAGCAATGGCCATCTCTGGTTTGTGATTGTCATCAGGATAATGGGCCGGATCGCGATTGTGCAATATTTTTGCTTTTTCCTGTAAATTTTTCATATAAAAAGTGCAGCAAACAATAAACGGTTCAGAACTGATTTTTCACAGGATTTTACTGCACCAGAAGCAATAATGTATGTTGAAAGGAAGAATTTTAACTGACTAAACAGACAATACTAAATTTCGACCCGTATTACAAACATCGCACTGAATCAGGCCAAAAAATTTACTTTTTCCCTTCAAAAAATACATCGGTGAAGGTTGCACGGCGGCTTATTCTCTTGCCAATGTAGTCTCAGAGTGGAAAAGTCCAAATGAAGGTGGTGATGTGCAACTCACACCAAAAACATTTCGAAACAGCTACAACCTTGCAAACTGCTTCTGTTGAGAAATCAGCTGAGCAAGTAGCCCCTCTAGAAGATGAACAAGGGACAACCGAGATGTACGAATGACAATGTATTTAAATAAAATTCTGAGCGCAGACCAAAGAAAAAGTAACAAATTTTAGATAAAAATTGTTTTAAATAAAATTCGTGCCAGCATTACCGGCTGCAACGCTCATTATGTAGCACTGGTCAAAGCAATTAAAAAAATAAAATAGCGGCACGCACAAGGGCAGCCGGTGCGATCATGCGTTTTGTGCTATTCCGTTCACCAAAAGATTGCCTGCTAATGATTTGCACTGTCCCGCCGAAACTTTTACGGGGCCGTAAGCAATACCCGGACGCGTGGGGAGCTGAATTTAAAATTGCAGGATTGCATGTGGACAGAAGACATTACCATAAAATTAAGCACCTCGGCTTTTATGGTTTCCGAGATAATAATTCCCCGATCAAAATTTTTACGGGGCCGTGGGTGATACCCGAGAGCATAAGAACGCTGAATTTGAATTTGTGATGTCGTACGTCGGTAGGGGGCATTACTCCAAACCTTAGCTTCCTGGATTCCGTGGTTCCCGAGATAATAATTTACCCGTAAAAACTTTCACTAGCTAGTAGGTGATACCCGAGAGCGTGGGAACGCTGAATTTGAATGGACAAGGTAGAGCGTGAGCAGGGGGTTATTACACTAAAATTTCGGCTTCGTATATTCAGTGGTTTCCGAGAAAATAATCCACCCGTCAAAAATTTTCGCGGGGCCGTACATGTTACCCGCGGGCGGGGAAAAGCTGAATTTAAATTTTCTTGTTAGCACATGGGTGGGGGACATGCCCACAAAACTTCAGCCTTCCAGCTTCCGTGGTTCCCGTGATAATAATTTCGCCCGCCCAAAATTTTACGGGGCCGTACATGTTACCCGCGGGTACGGGGAGGTTGAATTTAAATTTGCGGGGTCACACGTGGATAGGA